TCATTGTCGCTAATGAACAGTTGAATCTAGGGGTAAAAAATCATGTTGAACCCGTGCTTCATTGATGAGTACTGGAACGAGACATCCCAAATTCCCTGAATTCCCTATTTAAGCGGACCACCCTGTAGATGGCATTTGCTTGTTAACGCCTTGTCCAGTTGGGAGTCTTCAGAGATAATTTGAACCGTCGTGGAGGTTGGAGAGGTGAGGTAAAAGAGGAGGGCACGCGGGTATCGCGCATGGCTATTTTAGCGGAGGAACCACCTAGTTCTCCATTATGCTCGGAGGATTTGCTTATATTAAAATTTGCTTTCTCACTTTTTATTACTGGATTAAGTTTCTTGAACTATGTCTAAACCCCTCACATTAATGAATTTTTTTTAAAACTTTTGTGACTTCTGAAAGCTGGATTGGTTTTGACCTCATCGGTGGATGAGGTCAAAGTTTTCTTGCTCTACAGGAGTAGAGCAAGAAAATGTGGCTTGATCATTGATCTCGTATTGAGACAGGGGAAATACGAGCTTCGTTTCGTCGATTTAGCTAGAACCGTTGCCAACATTGACTTTTCAGTAGTTACTGCCGTCGAAAAAAAGTGATGTTCGACAAAATTTGACGTAAAAGTGGTTCCTTGAATATGCACAAATAAGATTTCGGTCCGAAAATGTGCGCTTGAGAAAGTGTTGCGCTTGGACCAGTGGCTTCCCCACCTCTCCAATGGGATGCCACCAGATCGACCGTCTCTTTCAAGTTTGTGGAACACTTCATAGGTTTTGTAGAGAACCACACTGCAATAAAGAGTGGTGACCTCGCAGACCCCGTTCCCCATGGAATTTCGTCGGGAAATCGATTTTTAGGAGTACGCTTTCCGCAGGATAATTGGGCTTTGGTATCGCCATATGGGAGAAGAGTTGTGACTTTCCAAGAATTCAATTTAAGAATGCAGGATTAAAAAAATGGATTTAGGTTTATGGTTATTTTCAAGTTTTTAAAGAATTTCTGAAGACACTGGACGGTTCAGGTTCTCCTGTGACCGTTGCCTTCATGCCCTCTATGAATGCGTGCCTTTAGATGGTTCTGGTCGATTTAGTCGATCGGACCGACCAAATACTGTTGAAAATGGGGTAGTCCTTATTTAGGTAGTCCACAGACGATCGATCGGGGATATGTGGAGTACGGACATGAAAGTGATATATCTACGTTGGACTAACTTAAGATGGGCCACGATCGATGCCACGCCTTTTTTCTTGTAAGTTCAACGAACAGGCTTCGTTTCCCAACATTCCATTTAATGGGTATTTTGTCAGATTCACATGATATTCACGCGGTGTTCGCCGAGTCGGCTCGTCTCACTCATCGATGAATGTTCCGATGTCCAACCTTTGAAGAACCAGTATTCCTTCGAAAAGTGAGGTTTTCGTACGTCGAACGACCGACCTCGAGTGGTGGCGAGAAGGAAGGGTGGCTTTCTAAGGACCGTCAGGAAGGTTCGTGGAAGTCCTGAGACGATCCTCTGAAGGCTGAATATCCAGGCTTCATCGGGTCTGCCTTCCGTAGCCATTCCACCTTGGCGCCATCGTGCCACTCCAACTCGCCTCTCGACGGCAGGCAAATCAACGGTGAATGAGACAGCAGGGTGCACGGTCGAGGCACTCAACAGCATTCGGGAAATGATCATTTCGATCGGTCTGGACATTTCCGCCTGAGAATTTTTGTCCTCATCACTTCGACGCATTATCTCTCGTCCCGCCTCCTGCACGAACACTGGAATCCGACCCCGGCTGAAATTGCCCTCAAATCACGCTCTTGCGTCCACGAGTTCAGGCTTCGTCAGTTGGGTTAAGCGTGGCTGTGTTGGAGCTCATTTCCGTACTTGTATACTTTTTTAAATAAACATTTATTTGACGGCTCTGAAATTTGACGGCTTAATAATTGGTGACTGGGCCAGCTACCAAACACGATGGTTGGCTGTTGTCACCGAACGTACTTCACGCATTCAAAAGACAAAAAGCGAACCTCACTGGAATAGGAATCTCCGGTTAAATGGGAAGTTTCGCCACATTTAGCGCCAAAATTTTGTTTTTGAAGTAATGCGATATCTACGACCGCAAGATGATGATACCTGTTTTGACGGCTAGAATTGCATTGGAACGGATTGTGCCAAGACCCCAAGAGAGACGAGCGGGATCGCATCCACTAACGTCATTGGTGTCTTTCCGTGCATTTCAACCGATCGATGCCAAATGTGGACGCGCTCGATTTCAGAGAGTTTCGAGCCGAAATGCGAGAACATGTTTACTGGCATTCGTTTAAGTAAAATTGGTCGAAGGATCTGATTTCGTCCAGGCAAAATTAACAATTTCATTTCCACTTAGCCGATCTCTTGATATTTTTTGTTTGGCTTAATTGTAATTGGCGTGCAGATCGATTATTTAACTCCACGGTTTTTTGACATTCAGTGTGGACTTCGTGCAACGATCGAGTCGAGCTGATAGATATTTTATTTGACTGGTTGGCGTCTGCTTAATGGCATCCATGACGTCAGTAGACGCAATGGAGCATTTGGTTTCCCATCGCAAAATTGACATTTGATTCCATGATTTTGGACAAATTGAGAAACCCCCAGCTGCCGCTCGTCGGTCTCGATTGGAGCAAATGAAACTTGCGAAGACGGGAAACGCCGGTCGCGAAAATCAAATTCGCAATGGTTTGCGGACGGGTCTGGATCTCGTCTCCGTGCATAAACGAATGAATTCCCTCTTAAGGCTGTTTTCGCCCGGTCCTCTCTTCGCATTCGTGAACACATCACATCAAAATTGCGTATTGTAAATGGGATCCAGATCCAGACTCGGGAATCCTCGCGTTTGGCACGTTCTCCCCGTTCGTGCAACCCTCGCTCATCCGTGCGTGAAGATGGCAGCGCGCGGAGAGCACGTGCAAGGCCGCCGATTCCGACGTCGTGGGTTTTCACGATGGGCCTTCTCTGCGGCTTCTGTGAGTCGGCATGCAATCGCGTGTGAGGCATAAGCTAAATACGCAAAGCTTCTCTTTCCCCGCTCTCCCGAGTTTCCATAGGAGTGTCTCATATTAGAGGACAGGGAGTCGTTCGTGTGGCGTCGTCGGCAGAACGGTAGGCCTAGACCCGGGGCGATCGATCCCATTTCGCCGGTGAGTGCAACGCATTCATTTTCCATTTATTTCTGAGACATATGATCGTTGCTACGAAACGAATTCGGTTATCGTTTCCGATCTGCATCCGAGCTGTGGAAGTTACATCAAGTTTAGTTACATCAATCAAGTTTAGATTAGTTTAAATTTAGTTACATCAAGTTACATCAATCGTCTCGATTGCGACCGCCCCAACCGCGTGTTCCTTGCAGGCAGAGACCCGCCGAAAAACGATGGAAGTCGCCGCGGATGGAGACGAGACGCTCGGGATCTTCGAGGTCGGCTTCTCGTCGATCGCTCGATTCCCTTCGCCTCTCATCGGTCCAGCGAAGCCTCGAGGCCAGAGCCCCACGTTCGTGGGCCGTCGGGACTCGTCGACCGAAGACGAGTGGAAACTCTTTCTCGATCGATTTGGGAGCCACCGCGATGCTCGAGACAGCGCTCTGATGAATTTCTTCCAGCGATACCCTCGTGCGAATGACGTCGGCTATCCACATGGCTTCGCCTGCAGCAGACTTAATACTCGTAACGATTTCCCATAAAAATCCAATGGTTTTTTCTGACACCAAAACTTCATAAACTGCAAGTTTTTTTTCTTCATGACAGGTGAAACTGATTCCACGTGGGATTCGGGCGCAACCTTCCGAGTGAATCTCGCGACGAACAGGCCCCGCCAACTGTCGAACTCCCGTGTCGAACCGAAAGATCGACAAGGGGAAATGATTCCGGGAAACGACGGATCGGCTTTCTAACCCACTCCATCTACCATCAGTTTGGATTCATCCGTGGCCTTCGATGAGTCCTCGGACAGCTGCGCCATCTCTGTCGGTCGGGATGAAACCACGGAGTCGAACCCTGGAATCGGGAGTCGGCTCCGCTTCTCGCTTTCGTCGGAAATCCGCGGGAACGTGAGTTGAATCCTCACCGCTGTCTGGAAATTTACCTTAACCTGTGCGATTTACGCTGATCCTTCACCGCTTTGTTCACGTTTCGCTGAAGTCTATGAGAAATTATTATTTCATTGGTCTGGAAAATGGAATGGCCTTCGATGGGCCACCAGCCATTCACTAGAAAATGTCTGCATTTCAATTTAGTGGAGATAATGGAGGAATCTAAATCCACTGGAAAATCTTGCCTTGCTTTTTTTTCCGGAGAGGATGAATTAAAATGGTAAGAAATAAAATTGTTCACCACTTGAGCATCACTGCTCGTATAACGTCAAACGTTAAGAATAGATTCTGCTTCCTTTTGCCTTTTCCTCCGGAAAGGTCATTCCTAACTGAACATCTCCCCAAACGTACCCTAGCAGCCATACTAGATGTAGTCTGGGGAAAGCTGAGAGATCGGTATTAGGTTTCAGAATTTTCATTTAGTTTTTTTTTTTTCCCCAGGCTTACGATGAATCTATTTTTGGTACCAAAAAAAAGCCTTAAGAAAATCCGAAAAAACCTTGAGAGTTAGAGTATTTGCCTAAGATTTAGATTTTGATGGTGGCAGTCCCATGATTCCTGATATTTAAAAAATGTATAGCTACAAAATAACCTGATAGAGTAAAAAAATTTAAAAAGGAATGACACGAATGTGTCTAGAGAAAGACACCAATTAGTTGGTTTCAGCTAAGGAATAAAATAATATAATAGTCAGCCTAATACCACGTAAATGATGAATCCAGGTAGCTCACTTCCTTCGGCCCGGCGGTGGCAACTTTCGGCGCGAGCGGGAATTAGACGGGGGCGGAAACGTACCGATGCCAAAACGAGTCCAGACCAGAAATCCATGCCTTTCGTCAGTGTCTTCACTTTGCAGAGGCTGGACCGGCGGTTGTAAGCTGGTCCAACGAGTTATGCTACGAGTAATGGTAGCAAGTGTGGCATGAATGGTGCCAAGGCGCCAGTTTCGTTGGCTGCTGCGCGCTTTAGTTACACTAGTTGAGGGTTATCTTGGGGGAAAGAAGGGAAAATAGTTACGAAAAGACCAGCCGAGAAAGGGAAAAACCCATATGATATAATATCATGGGAAACCAGAGGTCGTAAGAGGAGGATAATGGTTGTGAATGAAATTCGACTAAAGTCAGCTTGCCTGTTTATTCAATGTCACGGTGCGAATATCTCAATACTTTCATTAAATTTATAAAATAATGAAACTAAATTTTAAAATGTGATGATGCAGAAGTCCGTCCACGTAGGAAAAGACGTACATCGATAGCTTTCAGTTTCGATTAATTTTTCAGATTTGGTCCACGATGCACGAAGGGGTCTTGGGGTCTTGACGCCCCGTTTCCAGAAAGCATTTGGAGATGCCACGTCATCATTCGTGCGACTGGCTACGTCTGTGCGGACTGGCCATCCTGGCAATTTCTTGTACATGAGGTGAGTAGTAGTAATAGTAGTTCTGAGTCACCTTGCTATTACACTGGAAAGATGGTATGTCTCTGTTACGGTTACGGTCACGGTCACAGTCACGATCATGATTATGGTTACGATTACATGGTCAGTTCCATGTCAAAACATCGAAACGATTAAACATCGACGTGACGAAACATTAAAGTGAAATGTCATGCCAAATTTTTTCCCGGATGCTTTTTCTTATTTTTGGATTGATTTGGACGTAAATTCCGAGGGAAGTGACATGTGGTCTATAAATTCAAAATGACTGGTAGAAGACAGTTTGAGGGTGGCATCGTGGCTTCAGCAAGCTTTTTGTGCTAACATCAGTCTTTTATTTATATTTGTGCACAGTGCAGTTTGTTTCTTCTGAAAGAGATTGAAAGAGATAGCAAAATCATGCATGTGGCAGGTTTTGTAGATCTCTGTATATGCAGAGCGATTATGAAGTCCTCGTGCAACATTAAACTTTAATAACATTTGATATGCAAGTGATAGAAACAAACAGTTAATGGTATATGGAAACAGATTTATTAAAGTTTTTACCACACTAAGTATACATTTCTATGCCGCTACGTGGCCGTGATGTATCATTAAATCCTATTTTCCAAAAGCTTAAAAACATATTCCATTTGTTGCAGAGTGATTTCGTGAATTGCATCTGTGATCATGGCCAAACGTTCATTCTAAGAATGTTTCTCTGATGAGTAAACGGCACGCTCAACATGATCCCATAAAACAGTCCAGTGTGGAACTGGTCACGTGAACGAGGTGACCAAGGAATTTGTCCAAATGTGGGATAGTTCCTGAATTAAGTTTCTTCAGCCAAGTGGTTTGGTACAGGAGGACCGATTGCTTGATCGCCTCGTTCTCCGGACTTGTCTCCATTAGAGACAAGACATGGGGTCATGTTAAAATTGCTTTTTACTCATCAAAGCAATATTCTTAGAATGAACGTTTGACCAGGATCACAAATGCAATTCATGAAATCACCTGGCAAAAACTGGAAAATGTTTTCAAGCTTTCGGAAAATCGGATCGAACTATACATCAAGATAGATGGCAGCCATGTTGAAGCATCTAAATTTATACTTAGTGTCTTAAATACAGGGTGCTAAATAATGGGCGCTCCCAAAATAGCAATTTATTTCTTGAAATCTACGAAAGCTAGAAACTAAACTCAAACGGCATATTAAAATACGATTGCATGAAAATATAGGATTAAGTGCTCAATGTGGGTGCCCTCGCTAGTAACCACGTCCATTTAAACTTGCTGATCACTGACTGGAGTGGGCCATCCCTCACTCAATACTCTTTGCGAAATACCCTTCTCTCTGTCTCCGGACGTTTTTGACTTAAATAGTATTACTGCACCTTAAAACGTGTTCAATGCTGTAAGTTGCTTTTTCTATGAAAATGTTAAAAAAAAGTGGACTGGGACGGACATACACAGACAAGGACAAATGCCACAAGCGGCGACACTGAGTAGAGGAAAGGGAATTCTATATCGGACATCCCTGACGGCATTGTCCCATCTTCCCACGCTCCCTGTCATGATGTATCCTGTTTTCACGGGCCCGGGGAAGGTGGTGGCAACTTCGATGCCGCTCCGGCCATAGGCCCTCCATCGCTGCACATCGGGCCGCCAGGGCCGATGTGGCGGGTGCTATCGAGGTGCACCAAGCCCCTACCTCTCGCACCATGGAGCACAGAGTGGCCTATGCTTCAGCCTAAGGGAGAGCAGGTAGTACCCGAAAGCAGCCGGGTGAACTGTCGACCCAGGAGAATACCGCCTGCCGCCGGTCGGATTCGAACCTGGACCTCCCTCGTGCGCCCGGGCCTTGTCCACTGGTGACGCGGTTTCCTGCTTATCTCAGGTTTCCGTTATCTCCATTTTCCTGGATTTGTAGAAAATGGGAATGAATGGTATTCAGAAGGTGTGCGGAACAGTTGACTTGTTAGGAGTCTCTCAGTGCAGCGATGATGTCTGAACTTGCCAGTCTCGAACACGACTCGCTTAATTTTCTCTACATAAATGAGGCAAACGTTAGCCCAAAGTTACTGCCCCGATTGATTCGAATGTTTTCCCCCTTCTTTTTCATTTCCCTCGGAAGTCAAATGGGGCCAAAGATTCCACAGCAGGGGTGCAAAACTCCAAAGACTGCCGTAGTAGCATATAACATTGAATCAACATTGATTCAAGGTTGGTTCAACGTCCGGATGTTGAATCAACATGGAATCAATGTTGTATCAATGTTATGTGCTACTAGGGTGTAAGGACCATAACGATATTTACTCACCGCGGGCCGCAGGCTGGCTGCCCATAGCTGTGGCCAACAGGGCAGGAGACATAGTAGCACTTACAACGCCTCCAGTCATGGCGGGCCGTATGTTGTGCACCCACTTCACTTAAGGCTTCAGTCAGGGGTGAAATTATGGCAAGTGACGCATAGTACACGTTTCATCAAAGGCTGTTAGGATGAGTCCAGATGTCGGGTGTCATGGAGACGGCAGTCTTGGGAAATGCTCCGCACTTCATTCTTCAGTTCTTGTCTCAGAAATTCGACGGCATCTCGCGCTCTACCTGATGCCGTCGTTCTGTGAAACAGTACCTCTTTTGTCTTTTCTCTTCTATGGAAAGCATAAATTTTGATCATAGTTCGCGAGGGAATTTGAAATCCACTCCCAGTAGCGACACCGAAAGGGCGAATGCCTTTAGCACACAGTGCAACAGTGATTCGAACGCTCTGTTCTAACCAGGCGCCAGGACGCTGGAGTTTTTCTGCTACGAATATCCAAAAATACGGTGTGTTGACTTATCTTCCCCCTTACAGATGGAGGCATTACGAGAGGTGGGAAGAACCTGGTTTTTTTTTTTCTCCAGCATATGAAAGAAAAGCTTTGCAGACGCGACGCTGAATAACTTCTCCTGTTTCCTGGAAACTGCCATGTCTCCATACTCGACCATACCCCTCCTTAGGTCTCGCGCTACGTTCTCCAGCTTTCCATTCGTCTTGAAAGACTTTCGATTCCATCAGTAGGAGTAAGGATCGAATGGACATAGATTCCAACTGCAAAGATCTGACACGAACGGAAGACGATGAAAGACTGAAACTTCATCTCGATAATGTCCGCGGATTTTCTCCTGACGACCGCATC